AAAGGCGGGGCATAGAGGAGAAACAATAATGTACAGTATGGAAAATAATGTGTTTTTTTAACCTTAAACCGCATAAACACATTTCATTACACCAAATAAACAAAATGATGTTCTTTTTAGCAGCATCATATGACCCCTTTAATGTGCAATGTGGACAATGCAATGTGAAGTGTTTTCTGCATTCCCCAGTATTTTCTCTACAGTATTTTTTAATGCTTTCAGACTACAGCTTCAACTGTCTGTGATAGTTCCAGCAGTAATTACAAGGTGAGAACTAACTTCACTTTACTGAGCTATTTATGCAATTACTTTTAATAGATCAGTCTCAAGTTTATTTCTAGTCAGAATGAAGTAAAATTAAGTAATTTCTCAAGTTCACACAGGTTTAACCACAGGTTAAAGTTTGACAACCAGAAAGTGTCCAAACACTACAACACCAATTTTAACCAGTTTTTTTGTATTTTTTGTAATAATACTTTGTTACAGTACTTAAGTATTTTTTGGGAGTATCTGTACTTTACTTTAGTTTTTATATTTCAGCCAACTTTTACTCCACTACATTTCCTATTTAAAATGTGTACTTTTACTCCGATACATTTCACCGAAGCATATTCGTTACTTACTACAAAATAGTCAGAAGTCAGAAGAACACGGAATGCAGGAAAGCAGGTTTGACGAATCAGTGGTCTGGCATTTGTAAGGTAAAGGGGTCATATGATGCTTTTTTAAAGATCATTATTTTGTGTATTTGGTGTAACAGAATATGTTGACATGCTTTAATGTTCAAAAAACACATTATTTTTCAAATACTCTACATTATTGTAGGTCCTCTATGCCCCGCCTCTCTCAAACGCTTCGTTTTCTACAAAGTCCCTCCTTCCGACAAGTGCAGTCTGCTCTGATTGGCCAGCTGACCCAGTGCATTGTGATTGGCCGAACACCGCAAGCACTCGTCGGAAATGTAACGCCCTTACCATAATCGCGAGCTTCATCTTTCAAAATACATGTAACGACAGAGCCTGAAAGGGGAACGGAGTCGCGTGACAGAGTGATGAAGCTGGTATGTGTTTGTGATGTGACCCCCTCTCTCTCTTCTCTCTCGCTCTCTCTCTCTCTCTCTCGCTC